AGAGCGAACAGTGCTGCTTGCTCCTCTCTCTGCTGGTTTTCAGTTACTTCCCGAGCTACGCACAAGCAAATTGGGCCCTTCTGGTGCTGATTCCCAGGTGGGTGGGTTTGTGTACCTTCTAGGACCCTGTGGGTCTCTCCAACAAACTCTCCTGTGAGGCTGGGAGTTTCTCCCGCTGTCTCATCCTACACAGGTTTTTTCAGCAGATGTTTGAGGCTTTATTTCCCTGCACTGGACCCTGGGTTGCTTGGTCTTTCTTGCTCCCATGTTGTTTCTTCCCATTTATCTACACTCGGGTGTGGGGCCACTCAGTCCACAAGCCACCACCTGGCTGGTCCACCAGCTGCTGCCTTGGCGTGTGCCCTCTCCACCCAGCTGCCCGTCTTCACCCCTCCTACCGGTCTGGATGAATGTGTCTGCTTTAACTCCTTGGTTGTGATACTTCCATACAGTTTGCTTTTCTGTCAGTTCTGGTTGTTCTTTGTTTTTAAATTTATTGTTATCTTTCTTTTGGTTGTGTGAGGAGGCACAGTCTGTCAACCTATGCCTCCATCTTGACCGGAAGTCCACTACCTTTTTATATACCTTTACTCATTCAGATTTAGCCATAACTCACTTTCAGTTTTCGTTCTTTTCCACACTAGGAAGGACCATACTCAAACTCTTATCTGGCAGCTAAATGTCCCTAGCATTACAAGCACATGAATAAAGTAAAAGAAACATTGTCACCCTGTACTGGGGGTCACTGTCTTTTTCCACAAGAGAAATTTCAAATTTCCTTCAGGAATGCAGGTCCAGCTTTCCCTTTCAGCATCAACCATAGCAGCAGGCAGGGTCTTTGTCCTCCTCAGGCGGTGCCTGTTTTATCCGGTGGATCCAGGGTTTGATTCCCATCAGCTTTAAGGAAGAATATGATGTCAACAGGACGCCACTGGGACCAGTGCATTGTTCAGCTAGCTGCTGTTCTGGGACTTGAGTCTTCAGGTTTTTCATCTGTCTTTGGTGTGGTTGGCACAAATGGCACCAATTGGATTTCAACTATCTATTTCCCTGAGCAGGGTGATTTAAGCTATTTACCCTGTGGTTGCAGAGGAGCAGTGTAAACCATTTACTTTTAAGTGTCCTTGGTTTAGGGAAGGTAGGATTTTGTGATTTACTAGATGGTTGTAAACTGCTTGGCCGATTAATAGTTTACTTAGTTTCCCTCTTCCATTTATCCAGGCTTACTGGCTTGTGTTATATTTATGCAAAGTTGTATAAATATGAGATGAATGAATCTAAAAAATATGTAATGATGTGAATAAATCTCAAAAATATTTTTATGACCAAATGAGCCAGGCACAAGAGAGTACATAACTCCTATGGCCCCTCCCTACTCCTCCCCAGAGGTCTGATCAGATCTCTCTGTATCAATCTGAGAAGAAGGCAGGTTATGGACCCTCAAAAACCATCTTAGTGTCTCATCTCAAGCTGACCTTTTTATAAGAAGACAGGGTAGGTAAGGGGTTTGGGGCGGGGGAGGTTAATCCAATAAAAGTTGCAGTCTAGCTGTGATTTTCCTAGTACTTTACCTGTTGATTACCAGTTCTTTATCTGTCAGTTCTTCATCTGTGTTCCTCCCTGGAACTCACCATTTTCATCACTTGCAGACAGACCCCTGAGGCACAATGGTTGAACTGCTTGTCAACCTCCTAAATCATGCATTTCAGTTCTTGGTATAACTGCTTTCCACATGCATTGATTACTTAAGCTTATCAAACTACAGCTAAGGCTAAAATCTTTTAGGTGTCTCTGGGGCCTCCTGAGAGGTGCAGGCCAGGGTCAGTCACCACCTGTGTTCTGCCCAGAGCCACTCAGCATGAGCTACAAAGTGATCTGCAGATGGCTGCTACTTGTGCTGGGCTTGGAGGTGCCCAGGAGAGGCCAAGCTGTGATTCAAGGCTGACTGCTGCTAGGGCTGGGCCTGGGGCCACTTAGTGAGAGGTGTAGGGCACACCAAGGCCAGATGGTGCTTGTTGAGAGATTTTAGGAAAGTCTGACACATGAGCCAAGACAGGCCTTTCATTTGGAAAAACCATTGGAGATGACTTGGGTGGGCCCACAAGTTGGGTGGGGCATCAGAGAATTACCAGGGCAGGGTGAGCTAGCCAGGTGGTTGAAGATATGGCACCCACCTGCCAGCTTTACCGGGGGCGGGGGGGGGGGGTGGCTCATCAAAGGAACAATGGCCTCTGCCAGCACTTCTCTCTGGGAGAGAGCTGCCCCTCCAGCTCCCATCCTGATACCAGACCCTTCAGTTCCTCTCCTAAAGTCCCTGGTGCCTTTTGAGCTGCTGCCCTAGTGTTGGAGCTCACAGGGAGTAAGTTGATTTAAGTCTGTGCAAGCCCTTTTAGAGGAACTGCTTGGGACTCCAGAAGGACTCCATCTTTCTATGCCTGAATCCCTGATGGTTTTTACAGCCATAAGTTATGGGGGCTTTTCTTCGTGGCTTCAGAACCCTTGGCTTGGGGGCCTGGTGGGGGCTGAAACCCATCACTCCTCAGGGAGGGTTTCATAGCTGAAATATCCCTCCCAGTTTTTAGCTACCACATGTTATTGTGGGATGAACCTGTTGCACATTTCCACCCCTCCTATTAGCCTCCATGTTTTGTATTGATTTACTAACCAGGCTTAGTTAGGCTTGCTATTCAACAGCTTAGTTTGCAATGAAGAAAAGAGAATATTAAAGGAAAGTAAGAAAGTTTTTAGTAAGATCATATTCAGTTTAGACTAGAAATTCTAGTTCAGATTTAATATAAGTATATAAAATATCTTTATTATTTCTGCTAAGTTATAATTTAACACTAGAGCTCGAAAAAAAGTAGTTTTTGATGTATAAGAGACATCTAATATTACAATTACATAGCTTCAGGTTAAATGCTTTGATTATACCCTGTTTAGTTAAATCACTCAGCTTGCCTAGGCTTGATGAAAGATTAAGTGATATCAAGACAGGGCATTGAAGATACACCTGGTTTCTTCACTATTAGAGGCCTTAAGAGAAATGTTTAAGGACTTTAGTTAAGGACTTTTAGTGTGTCAGAATTTAGCTTTATTGTAGCATTTGAAGGACGGGATAATAGGATTTTTGTTTTTACATGCCAGAGGGTTTTGCAATTCTGGTTTAGAGCTGAGGGCAGAGTGAATTGGAAGAAAAGCAGAATTATAGCAGTAGTTGTTGAAAATACTAGTTCATAACAGTGGATTTTTTCACCAAGCTGCCCTTTTCTATGTAATATTCATAACTTTTTTGTCTTAGTCGTTTTACATAGAACTTTTCATATTTATACTAACATTTTCTGAATACTAATAATATTCTAGCACTGTATTCATAAAGCTAGAATTGTAAAATATGTGAGTGAGGATAGACAACATTAAGGAAAACAGGAACATATCTAGGAGAAACTCAGAACCCACAGAATTGAGGCCAGAATTTTATCTGGTATTTTTTATTTATTTGTTTGTCTTTCTTTTGAGCAGGGAAAATGGAGATGGTTTATTTTGAATACCCAATTTTTTTAAACATAAAGGATATAAGGGAATTAATAGAGGAGATTGTCAGAGAATCAGAATGCTCCCCCATACCTATAGTTAAAGGGTTAATATGCAGGAAGAGCTTTGGAGATAGTATTTAAACTCCAAGTTGTTAGGCATAATTAAAATGCATAAAACCTTCTACAGTGTAGGAATGTAATGGTAAACCATTTCACCATGGATGGATATTGCTATGTGTTTACTCCAAGTGCAGGAAAAGCCATGCTTCCCTTTGCAGCCATGGCAGTTTTCTTCTTCAATAGGACCTTGTTTTTATAGTTTGTTTTTTTTTTTTCTGACAGTAAGCTCCTAGTAAAAATTTTTAATAGAAATAATTGAGAATCATTTCTGCCTTGTTTCACAGTTTATTCTTTCCAAGAATGCTGAGTCACAAAATAAAATCTTAAATTAGGAGCTCTGGCTGGTATGGCTCAGTGGATTGAGCACTGGCCTGTGAACCAAAGTGTTGCTGGTTCAATCCCCAGTCAGGGCACATGCCTGGGTTGCAGGCCAGGTCCCCAGTTGGGAGTATGAAGGAGGCAACCACACATTGATGTTTCTTCTCCTCTCCTTCCCTTCTTCCCTCTCTAAACACAAATACAATAAGTAAATAAAATCTAGAACAAAATATTTAAAACATCTTAAGTTAGGAAAAGGCTTCAGAGAGAGTTTTTAAAAAGTTCAAAAGGTTTGGTTTGTCAGTTGAAGACAGTAATTCATTCCATTTTTTTTATTGGTCTGTCTCCTACTGGTATTAGATCTCTGTTCATCCATATTTATAGTCTCCAATGACTGGCATGCTTCATTAATGGCAGACTTGAAGAGTAAACCTAGAACCAGTGGGATATAGTGAGATGTTATATACAATCTAATTCTTCCTCTCTTAGAACTAGCTCCAAAAATAAAAGTAAAGTGTATTTGGTCTCAGGTGAAAATTAGACTCTGGAAAGAGACCAGGATTAGGGTCTGTTTCTGCTGTTCAGCCTTATGCATGGCTCTGCATGTCTTTTGTTACTTCATCTTCAAAGTGTGAAAAACAACAGTATCTGAGTTATAAGGTCGTTTTGGGGGAATAACTAAAATAATGCATTAAAATATTTAGCAGTTCTTCTGAATACAATGAGTGCTTGGCATATGATTTAAAAGATTTTTAAAATCCTTGTGCGTGTGGAATCTGTGTTCTATGTCTTTTCCTTATCCTTTGGGTATTTCAGTCTCCTCAGGTCCTTTGTGAAATAAATGTGGCATTAAGGATGACGAGTCCTCCTGAGATCAGTGTGGGCAGCATCTAGAAACTGCTGCCTTCCTGAAGGCAGAATTCATCAGTTCCAAATAGCCCAAAGGAGTAATACATGGAAAAGATGAAATTGACATGGTTTTAAAAGGATTTTCTCATTATATGCTTGCTTTTCATATTTTTTAAACAGCGCCTTTGAAGATGAGACCATGAAGCTTCGACAGCTGAAACTAGATAATCAGGTGAGCAGAGTATTCTCTTCTGAAATAAGTGAAGATCTGTACTGGCCCTGATGCTGATGGTCTTGACTCCGAAGTCTTGGTAGGGTCACAGAAAGAAGGCTTGAAAGTAAAAGACTTTGATGTTACTCACTAAGCAATGTCTGGACTTAGTAGCTATTGAACCAAGGCCCTGGACTATGGGAAGACCAAAGTGATTTGAGGACATAAGCAGTAAAACTGGCCTTGGATTTGTAATCACTGAAAATCCCTGGGCACCTTTCAAAAGAATTAGAAGAATGTTAACATTGTAATATTACGTACTGATCTGGTCCTTAAGTACCTCTCTATGCTGTAATTTCATTTAACTACAAGATTTTTTTCTTACCCTTATCTTACCCATCCTGCTGAATTTAAAAACTTCCATTGCCTGCGGAATAATTTTCTTCACAGCACTGGTTCCAATTTTAGTTATACATTAAACTTTTTTTTTGGACAATGATTTCATTTACATTTGTTTCCTCCACTAGACTAAGTTCCATGAGAACAGGAAGCAAATATTTCTGTGATAACCGTTATGCCAGAAGCTCATAGCATAGCACTGGACACACAATAATTCTTCATTAAATATTTGAGTGAAGGAAGGAATAAATGAACAGTTTTGTATTTTTACATGCTATGATCATCATGATTAGTCAGCTTAAAACCTATATCCAACATAGCATATTTACTATTTCATATGAATGTTTTTTTAATTCAAGAAATTCTGTAGCTCTAGTCCACCTATGTAGGACCATTAACAATCAAAGTGTCTCAACTCCATAGGTAACTAAAAACACCTCTGAAGTTTTGTCTTCTTTATGTTGCTGTTGGAATTAATAACAGGACTTTAGCGTAATAAATTAAAGGTAGAGTCATGAAGAACTAGGAAAAAGGTCTTGGCAGAGCATGCAGGGATATGTGGAACAACCCTCCACAGCAGGGTGAAGTGGAGATACAGATGAGAATGCCACCCTGGTCCCTGAAACCGCACTGGTACTGGTGCTTATGCTTGAGTGTGGTCTTTGCAGGGCACCTTCCAAACCCTTCATGACAGTGGCACTGCCCTGGAGACTGTGATCACATCCTACTGCCCTTCAGGCCACCAGGTGGTAGAGTGTGTGCCCATTGGTCTTCAGGGATCTTGTGTGCTAGCCTGTGCCACCATAGGAGACCTTATGCTTCAAGGCCTCAGTGATCACTTCCAGTGCCTGCTGCCCCAGCAGCCTGCTCTCCAGGGCCTTCCTCACCTACTGCCTCATGAAGTGCATGGAGAGGAGTGAGCCTCGAGCCTTGGTGCTCCCACAGGAGCCACCCAGCTTGACCTAAAGGGCCTGAGTAATGAAAGCAATGCCATGGCGGTTCCTGAGCCATGCGGCTCAGCCCAGCCTGTGTAGACAAGGACCCATGGCTGGCGCTCTGAGCTCTCCCCACACTTGGTGGCTGTGCACAGGGCAGACCTCGCCTGCTCCAGGCTGCAGGAGTGCCTAGCTACCCTACCCTCTACACGTTGAGGGCCAGGCCCATCCCACCAATGGGTTGCCTCTGTCTCTGCATATGTCCAGCTCCAGATCAGTAAAATACACTTCTAGGCTTAGGGATCCTTCAGGACAAGCTGACTAATGTCCAAATCTGGGGACCCCAGTGTAGGTGACCAGTCCCTGGGGGAGCCTGGCCATAGTGGTTTTATGGTTGGAAACCACTGGTGAGGTTAATATACCAGCTGCAGGCTCCCCCGACCTGGCTTCCTTTAAAAATACTGGAGACATTTTAAGCAAATCTTCATATATTCTAAACCCAAATTCTTTATTAGAAATATTTGTAGATATTTTCTCTAACTCCATGGGTTGTCTTTTTACTCTCTTGAGGATATCATCTTCAACACAAAAGTTTAATTTATCTTTTGTTTCTTTTGTCATATGTACTTTTAGTGTCATATCTGAGAAACCATTATCTACCTAAGGTTACAAAGGCTTGCTACTTTGTTTTCTTCTAATAGTTTTATACTTTTTCTGATTTGTTTTGAGTTTATTTTTATGTATGATGTGAGATGAGGTTCCAGCTTCATTCTCTTGCATGTAGCTACCCAGTTGTCCCACCATCATTTATTGAAAAGCTCTCTTTCCCATGGAATATATTTTACTTTTATTTTTACTAGTTTTGCTACAGTATTTGTAGTTTTAGGGTATGTGGACACCTTAGCTGGCTACAGAATATAAAAATGTCCAGACCCTTCCAGTGATGTTACTGAGACACGGACACACATTTGGTAGAGAACATTTGTGCCATCTGGTGGACGATGGATTCGAGTATAACATAGGCTCTTTAGGGCAGGTTGCCTCTCTATAAGTACACACCCTTAAAGGAGAGGCAGCCATTAGTGCATTGAATTGGTATTTTAAGAAGTCTGATTTAGAACTTTTAGTTTTTTTCTTCCTATGATCTCACCTTTTGTGCCAGGGAAGCTAATTATTTTTAGCCAAACTGATAGGTGTCAGGCAACCCTACTGAACTTGTTGGTTGTACCTTGTGATCAGCCAGTCTAGTCCAAGAGTGCCATAATGTAACCAGCCCATCATCTCTAGGGAGTCTTTGGAAAATTGAGAATCAGTGATGTTAAGCTGTCATTAATTTGAGGGTTGCCTAAGCTTTATTATTTTACTGAGTTAAGCCCTTTGATGGAAATATTCCCTTCCTCCATCTAATCTCCTTTATTTCCTCATTTATTTCTCCATCAATCACCATTTGATGCTTTGCCCCCATGGAAAATAGAGTAGAGCATATCATTAGATTCTGGAGAAAATAGATCCTTTGAGTTACTGTTCAGTTTCCAAGGGAATTGGGAAATTTAAAGATTATGTAGCACTTAATCCTGAAGGCAGCATAAAGGGCATTGAACCTTTGGTTCTCTTCCTGACTCCTTTGTGTATGCAGCCTTTAAAGCATCCTTAGCTTCTTAGGGGAGGTAAAACATGAATGAGCCCTGGCCAGGTGGCTCAGTTGGTTGGAGTGTTGGCCTATTACAAAAAAGGTTGCCAGTTTGTCCCCAGTCACAGCGCATACAGGAAGTAACCAATTGATGTTTTCCTCACATCCATTGTTCTCTCTCTCTCTCTCTCCCTTCCTCTATAAAATCAGTAAACATATCCTCAGGTGAGGATTAAAAAAACATAAATGAAATAGGAGTTGACATTGTTATATTAAAACTCCGTTAACACTTCTCCCCCTTCCACACTCTGAGAGGATGATTAGAATGCTGAATCATTCCAACTTCTCAGAGGGACAAGTGGTGTTGAGCAATAACAGGCCCGTGATGCCCTTAGATGTCTGGGGCTGCACGTGCTGGTACACTGATGGGCTCAGTGTGTGCTTGCCCTACACCCTGCCCTACACAGGCAGGCGCAGGTAACCCACTGAACTCCATTTGTGATGGGGATCAGGGCTTGCAATTATTCCCCAAGAACGAGAAATTTCCAGTAAGTGGGAGTCATAAGCTTGACTGATTAAGTCCCTGCCCTTCATACACACTGCCCATCGCTGCTACCAATTGGATAGTTTGGTGAGATCCTTGGATCACCCAGGGTTGGTCCATGGCCCTGGCAGAGCACTGAGAAGACGGTGGAACTTCCCTATCAAGAGGAAGCAAAAGTCATAACAAGATTTCTGTAGGTGCACCTGAAAAAAAAAAACACAACTAAATCGGGTGACAGTTTTTACCAAGTAGCAGTTTGCCCATACATAAAGTTTACCTTAAACGAATAGCCAGATATGTCTCCAGCAAAGTGGGTTTACTAGGGACAACAAGGAATTGCAGTTTGGGACATTTGGTCTAATGGCAAACCATGGGCTTGTACAGAGAAATAAAGGAAAGAACCACTCTTTTATGGACTTGCAAGGGACTGTTATAAATGAAGATTCCCTGGGAGGACACCGGAAGTTGGAAGTATAGTGAGTTTTAGTGAGTTTCCATTGGCTGAGTTATGGCAGTCTCCCATTGGCTGAGCTCTTACTAGACAAGGAGGACTCTTCTGCTGAGGTAGGGAAGTAGTATCACCTCTGTCAGAGATGCAGGGTATCTACTGACTCTGTTGGGGTCAGTGGTGTGCACTGAGTGACATGTGTGAGAGTTCTCTTCCACTCTCCTGACTTCATTTAAATGAAGTTTGTGTTTGTTCATTTTCATAGTAGATATTTTGTGAATTTGTTTCCTATTTATAAACTTGGACAATAATAGGATACATTCAGTTTTCTAATATAGTAGTTGTGGCTGTGAAGTTCACAGTTTGAATCTACATTTTTTTAACAAACTAATTTTAGTTTTATTTTGACATCTGAAGCATCTGAACAAAATTTCTAGGGATATTGTGTAGTGGGTTGAAGTGTGCTGCTTATGGGTTGAGGTCCAAGGGGCTTTCACTTCCCGAGTCATCTCGGTCCTCCTGTGTGTCTCAGTTTCTCTCCCCGGCTGTCTAATACAACCATGAGGACTCAGACTGCTGGGTGACCAGCCTTTATGTGCACATACCTGGATGAGTCAATTATTGGAATTCCCTATATGGATCCTGCACATCATGCAGAATACCCTTTGACATCTCCACATAGATTCTTAGTTGTCTAAGAGAATACTTGAGATTTGAGCTAGGGGAAGGAAGTGCCCCTTATCTTTGGAGCCCAACAAGTTCAAGCTCGTTTATCCAGCCAAAGATTTTGTTCAGACTCTCAAGAAACATGCTGGGGAAAGAACAGGGTTGGGGGGAGCCACAGGTATACTCAAGAAAAAGAGAGCACCTGTTTTTGCCCCCTTGAGTTGTCGATGTAAGTGAGCTTAAGCGTGATAGAGAAAGGTTTCACCAGGTACCTTGATAAGCTATCTTATCAGGAGTGTAATTGGCTCTTTGAGGGTCTAAGAATGTGTTGTGTTTTTTTTTTTTCAGTGACTCTAGATGTAATGTGTGACACCTAGCTCTTTGGCTTCTAGACCACAAACACACTAGTTAAACTCACAACAGTCAGTTCTGAAAGCAGACATCACTTCATTAATCTGCAATGAGAACTCTTAACTCTTCCAGTGTACATTCAACTCTATTGTACGTGATTCTCTGTTATTGGGGATTTGATGCCTTAGAGGTTAAACAAAAATTAGAAGGCTGATTGGAAAGCAAGGAATCAGAGGAAATAAAATTAGATCATACTGAGGGACAGTTAGATCATCAAGGCCTTTTATAGTTTCTTGTGCTCAAAATGAGTAAGATCTTCCAGTAAAGAAAATATTCTTGTCTACCAAATTTAGTATTTCTCTTTCTTGGACAGGCTGGATAAAAAACTCTTGTCAAATTCTAGCTCTTTGGTTTCCCTTTTCTAGACCACAAACAGAATACTCCTTTTCTATAGGACATTTTTTCTTTACATATGTTAATAGGAGTAGCTGTTGCTTGTGTTTCTGTTTCATCCGTTGTTTCAGCTAGGAGACTGCGTGACACTAAACAGCTGTGGCCGTGTAGGTAAGATGTGGCAATTTCTCCTGTCTTTATACTTCATAGTTACCATATCTTCAAGCAGGTTACTTTTCATGCATTATACAGGATTTCTCAGATTCTAGAAGAACCTTATCAGTAAATGCTATGAGGAGGACCGCATTATAATCTCCTGGGTATTTAGTGTTCCTGGTACATTAAGGTCCATCTATTCATATTAATTCATGAGTTTCAAAATAATCTCCAAAACCCCAGTTATTCCTCTCATCTTGCTCTAAATTCTCTATTCTTTTTCTTGTACAGTAAATCCTCACTTAATATCCTCAATAGGTTCTGCAACTTTAAGCAAAACGGCATATAGCAAAACTAGTTTTACCATAGGCTAATTGATATAAACAAGAGTTAAGTTCCTATGCATCCCTTCAACATTATAATGAAATGATGTTGTTCGAGGACCTGCTGTAAACAAAGTTGGGTAAAAACAGTCCTATTTCTTCTGTGTCTTCTGAATTTATCTGCAAGTTTTCATGAGGCCAGTTCAGGAAAACACATTTCCTTTCCCATAGATGGTCTCACCTCTTGGAGAAATTCTTCTTGTTAGTGGTGCTTTTTAAAAGCAGTATTAATGAATAAAAGTAAATAGCTAGCTTTTTGCCTAAGAAACAATAAAGTAGGTTATAATATCTTTGCTTTTAAATAATGGCTTAATTTTTTAGCTTGAGACTTGGTACTTTCCTATTCTGAGACATCCCAGAACCATAATAATTTCTATGTATTATAAAGCCTTATTTGCCAAAGCTTAAAAATAATGTATGTTCCAGTACCTTCCTTTCCATCTTGTTGGATATTTTTCTCATAGTCTCACATGCTTTTTTTCTGACTTTTCTTTCTACCATGTTCTTTATCTTCTTTTATCCGTAAATTGATTGCTTTCAATTTTCAGTGTTCCAACTCTTATTTTTTCTTATAGTCCTTTGCTCTAATTTGTTTAATACATAAAAATGAACAAAAAAGCAAAAGTTATTGTTCTTTTGCTAATTAAAACATGAAAATAATTTGGGGTTTAGATTATAATAAATTTTATTTTTCTTTCAATCACAAAGGTAAGAAAAATTAAAAATACAGAAAACTTAGAAAGTGCTGGCCAGGTGTCTCAGTTGGTTGGAGCATTGTCCCATGCACCAAAAGTTGTGGGTTCGATTCCTGGTCAGGGCACATGTCTAGGTTGTGGGTTTGGTCCCTAGTCAGGGTGTGTATGGGAGGCAACTGATCAGTGTTTCTCTCTCATGTCAGTGTCTCTGTCCCCTTCTCTCTAAAATCAATAAACATATCCTCAGGTGAGGATTAAAAAAAAGAAAAGAAGAAAAAGGAAATTAATTATTTAATTCTACCACCCAGAGAATGTTTTTTCATGTTGTTTTATCTTTTACCCATACTTATGTGTTTATATAGTTTAAACTTGTGTTGATAATAATATGATAATTACTACTTATATGTTACGTAGACTTGGATCATGGAGTGCATTTGTATCATTATTAATATGGGTGCTCAGTAAATATTATTATTTTTGTATTATTAGCTGTTCTCTTTTGGGGGTGGGTTTATACACACAGGAAGGTGTTCAAAGTGTACTAATCCAGAATCTACACCTGGATGATTTTTTACATGTGCATACACTCAATATCAACAGCTCAGTTCATGATACAGAACATTTTTAGGACCCTATGATGTTTCTTCTTGCAACTTCCCAGGAAACTGTCCCTGCCCCACAATAGTTACTCTCTGATTTCCATCACCTTCAGTTAGTTTGTTTGCTTTGCCTGTTCTTGGACTTGATATAAATGGAATCATCCAGTATGTACTCTTTTGTGTCTGGCTGCTTCTACTCAGCAAATGTCTGTGGTGGTGGTGGGGGGGAGTCTTTCCATGTTGTAGTATGTATCACTAGTTTGATCTCTTTGTTGACCTGTAAAATTTCATTCATATGGTAATACCACAGTTCATTAACTCTCCTCTTGATGGATATTTGGACTGTTTCTAATCTGGACCTATTTTGAGTAAGAATTCAGTAGTCCTTTGACTCCAAAGAATAGAAAATCATATTTCTCTTTATTGGCTCCCACCTGCCAGTCCTTCATTTACTGCAGACCTTAGACTGTCTTATTTTTACTCAATGTTATTCCACAAAGAAGTTTACACAATAAAATAATAGTAAAATAGTGAAAGAAATAAAGAAAATTAAAATGAGGATAAAATACCAATGCCTGGGCAGATAAACACAGTATGCAGTCTTTTAGGTCTAATAAATATTTATTAAATTAATGAATCTTTGTCCCTCTCTTTGCCTCAATTTTCTCATAAATGGGAAAATTAGTTCACAAGGATTTTGTGTAAGAATCAGTGAAACATTATAAATGTTTGAAGTAGATAGGCCTTATCATAACTTTCCTGGCTATAATATCAAAATTTTTTCCCAGCGAGCACTCCTGGAGAAGAAACAGAGAAAAAAGCGCCTGGAGCCACTCATGGTACAGCCTAATCCAGAAGCCAGGCTACGTCGGTCAAAGCCAAGAGGTTGTGAGGAGCAAACTCCTTTGGTGGAACCTCATACCCCTCACAATAATGTCATCCTACATGGTGTGTATTTAGGCAGCATCTCTTACTTTTGGGGCACAGTTTTCATAACCCTGAGGAAGGCAGGAGGATTCTTAGGTGGATCAAAGGAACAATATTAGCATTGTCATTGGGTGCCTTCATAAATTTTTATAATAAAATTCTGGGTCTTTGAGTTAGAATAAAAGCAATGATCGAATCAGTAGAAGATGCTGTAAAGTTAATGTCCACCCTAGAACTGATATTTTTAGATGCCAAATGAATTAGTCCAAAACAGTCTATTTGAGGAGCAGAGTTAACTTTGAAGCCAGGAGTATGTAGAGAGCATCCATTTTTCCGATAGATAGACTCAAAGGATCATCTGAGATGATGAGAGGAAGAAGGGAGAACAGGATTAAAAACGTCTAAATCAAGCCCCCTGAGCTACTGACTTGTATGGGATCTGAACTTTGGGGGACCTAGTTTGTTTCCATAGTCTCATTCTTAAGTTTCTCAAGGCAACATCAAGTACATTTTCCTTTAGTAAGAGTCAGCATGTTAATAAAATGAACACCAGCCCAGGATTACTCTTTTAACAAATGTCCTCGGGGATGTTTAGAAAAGAGGAGAAGTGAAATGATTTGGTGGTTCTTAATTCTAATTACTTACACCAGTTGCACACAGCTCAATAGTAGATTATACTTTCTCTGTTTTCCCTCTTTTGGCCCCTAGGCATTGATGGTCCAGCTGCTTTCCTGAAGCCAGATGCTCAAGATTTGGAAACCAAATTTCATGTTCTCTCAGTTGGCTCTTCTGCTACAGAAGAGGATACTGAAGGAAGTGTTGATGGGGAAAGCACTTTGGATACTGCTTCTAAGCCAGATCTTCAGGAGATTCTCCAAAAACATGGTGAGGGTTGGTCATGATTTTAAGGCAGTTTAATTGTGTTAGTCATTTATAATCTTTTACTTTGCTTCCTTTTTGATTAACAATTTAGATGACTCAGCTTGCTTGTAATGTGACTTAGGGCTTTGCAGAGGTGACAGTGTTAGGCACCTTTGACATCTGAGAACTAATTGGTCATTGTCAGTGATAGTAGTTAGTGTTTATCCTATGGCCTAAGAAAAATAAGATAATGAAATCAAATGTGAAATATCAGCAGCATTAGCTACTATATATGACTATTTCTTCTTGATATTTTATGTTTAGTTCCTACCCTCTTCCTTTGACAAGGTTGCCACTCAAGTCCCGTACTGTGCTTCTGTTTCACAGTTTATACTGATATAGTGATAAGGGGAAAGATGAATAGCAACTTAATGGAAACACGTATGGACCAAAATGTATTTAACACTTTTTTTTTATCTTATAATGCTGGTTTGTTTTTATGAAAATTAAAAACAACCTACAATTTCAACCACTGTTTCCAATGACAACTCTTTAAATACTTGAGACAACTATGAAGTATAAGCTAATACTTTTTTGACTAGAGCCTACTTTCTGCCATTTGAAGTTACCATTTTCATAAACATTCCTGTGCATTTCAGACATCCCTTTTAGTCTTCTTTCCTTCTTAGAAAAATAATTATATAAGAGAAGGAATTAAGTGTCTCCTTTTCAGATGAGAAGACTGAAGCCCAATAATGAATTAATATATATGGGATGCTTACTTTGTAATAGGTAGGCATTGCTAGGTCCCAGGCTGTATGAATCACAGGATTATACTACAGAATTTTAGAAAAGATGTACATTCAAACAAGTTCACACGTTCATTCATTTAGGAACCATGTACTGAGTATATAAATACTATGTATTAGTCATTGTTCTAAGCACTTAGGATACAATAGTAAACATGGTTCTGCCCCCATGGAGCATTTATTTTGATTGAGACTTCGTGCCCTTAAATAGCAAAGAGAGCATGGAGAGAGGTGTCTAACCCAGAATTGAAGATTTAGAAAGCTTTCCAGAAAAAGTGATGTCTAAGCTACAGCCTGATTCAAGAAAAGGAGCTGGCAAGTTCAAAATGGCTGTAGCTGAGAGTATGATGTGATGAGGTTTTAGAAGCGGAATGTGAAGAGATGAGTCTGGAGAGGTAAATGGGCTCTGATGTTATATGACATTATAGGCCACATTTGGAATTTGGGCTTTATCTGAAGAGTAATAGGAGCCAACGAGGGATTTTAAGCTGAGAAATCATATCAGATTTGGGCTGTAGAAAAATTACTCAGCAGTATAAAGAATAAATGGGAAGTGGGACAGGTCTGGAAAGCAGGAAAATAGCTTAGGAGGTGGTTTGGCTGATGGCCTATCCTAGAGTTATAACATGGAGTATGCCAGAGTAAAATTAAGAGAGAGAGGGAATTACACTGCCAGGGCAATGAAAAAGGGACAAGAAAGATATCACAGGAAAGTAATGATTAACTTTCCTGTGGAGGACACACATCCTCCTGTGCACTGGTGTCACCTCTGCAGCAGCTGGAGACTGACATTTCTGAATGTCTTTTGTATGCCAGGCATTTGACATACATTATCTCAATTAATTTAATATTTGTAACAGTACTTTGAGGAGTTTATATATTATTAGTCTCTTCATGTTATATATAAGAAAATTTGTTCTAAGAAAGAGGCTAAGTAATTTGTCCAAGATCACACCGATAGTTTAGGTGGCAAACTTGGGCAGAAGAAATAACATGTGCAAAGGCATCAGCTGTAAAAACAAGATGTGTTTATGCAGACTGGGACAGATGACCAGAGTGTGGGTGTGGTGAGACAGTGTAGTGGAATGGATTACAACATAACACTGGAGCCGGCTTGCTTGGTTTTGAATCTCAACTCTGCCACATCTGACTGGCAAAGGGGGAAAACAACTTTTCTGTACCTCAGTTTCCCTGTCTGTAATATGAGTGTGATCATGGTACTTCCCTATTACTTTATAACCACTATTATCACAAGAAGAGAAGAGCAAGGAGAACTTCTCAGTTTAACCAAAAGGTAAATTACCCCAAGTTATCTAGCTGAATAGTGGTACACCTAGATTTTGTGATCCTTAGTCTAGTTCTTTCTCCCTTCCTATCTAATTCTCTCTCCTTCACTGCCCTACTGAGTTACTGCTGTGTTCTTTCTCAGAATCAGCCCCTCAGTGCTAGATATATCAGTGCCTTTTCATGTCTCAACAGTTTGTGTGTTAAAGTAACCCATTAAATGCACTCTTGATCAGGATCTAAGAAGTGTCAGTTTGGCAGATTATATCCCTCAAGTGGATCCAATCTGCTTGTCTTACAAGTTTGGGAGAAATCTTTGCTCTCCGTCTTTTTCATTTTTCTCTTTTTGTCCTCATCCAAGAGCATGCTCATTAATTCTAGGGGGAGGGGGGAAGGGCGGGGAGAGAGAGGAGAAAAACATCTGTGTGAGAGAGAAACGTGGATTGGTTGCCTCTCCTACACACCCCAACCAGGACAGCACCCACAGCCTCGGCATGTGCTCTGACCAGGATTCAAACCCACAGTCTTTTGGTTTACGAGACGATACTCCAACCAACTGAGCCACACTGGCCAGGGCTGATCTCCATTTTAAGACTTATATTTGTATAAGCAGAGTTCTTGGTATAACAGTGGCATTTCAAAACATAGTACTAAGTGAAGTTACCATATGATAGTGAGATCCAAGAGTTTTATGCCTTTTTGCTACCAAAAACCTCCCACAAAATTTTAGAAAACAAAATAAAGTCCTTTACAAACCAAATAATTTTTTATATTTTAATCCTCACCTGAGTATATGTTAATTTTTTTGTACTTAGAATGACTTTTGTTTATCTATTTTTTAATTTTTTAAAAATACATTTTATTGATTATGCTGTTACAGTTGTCTAATTTTTTTCCTCCCCTTTGTTCCCTTCTGCCTTACACCTGACCTCCCAACATCATTCTCCCACCTTAGTTCATGTCCATATAAGTTCTTGAGTTGTACATACAAGTTCTTTGGCTTTTCCATTTCCTATACTATTCTTAATCTCCCCCTGTCTACTTTATACCTACCATTTATGCTTCTTATTCCCTGTATCTTTTCTCCCATTCTCCCTCTCCCTCGTTGCTGATAACCCTCCATGTGATCTTTATTTCTGTGATTCTGTTCTAGTTGTTTGCTTGGTTTGTGTTTGTTTTTCATATTTTTCAGGTTTAGTTGTTGATACTTGTGAGTTTGTTGTCATTTTACTGTTCATATTTTTGAACATCTTCTTTTTCTTAGATAAGTCCCTTTAACATTTCATAAAATAAGGGCTTGGTGATGATGAACTCCTTTAAGTTGACCTTATCTGGGAAGCACTGTAACTGCCCTTCCATTCTAAATGAAAGCTTTGCTGGATAGAGTCGTCTTGGAGGTAGGTCCTTTCCTTTCATGACTTGGAATACTCCTTTCCAGCCCCTTCTTGCCTCTAAGGTTTCTTTTGAGAAATCAGCTGAGTCTTTATGGGAACTCCTTTGTAGGTAACTGTCTCCTTTTCTCTTGTTGCTTTTAAGATTCTCTCCTTCTCTTTCATCTTGGGTAATGTAATTATGATGTGCCTTGGTATGTGCTTCCTTGGGTCCAACTTCTTTGGGACTCTCTGAGCTTCCTGGAAGTCTATTTCCTTTGCTAAATTGGCGAAGTTCTCCTTCCATTATTTGTTCAAATAAGTTTTCAGTTTCTTGCTGTTGTTGTTCTCCTTCTGGCACCCTTATGATTCTGGTGTTGGAATGTTTAAAGTTTTCCAGGAGGTTCCTAAGCCTTTCTTCATTTTCTTGAATTGCTATTTCTTCATTCTGTTCTGGTTGAATGTTTCTTCCTTCTGGTCGAAATCGTTGATTTGAGTCCTGGTTTCCTTCCCTTCACTGTTGGTTCCCTGTACATTTTCCTTTATTTTACTTTGTATAGCCTTTACTTTTTCCTCTATTTTGTGACCATACTCAACTATTTCTGTGAGCATCCTGATTACCAGTGTTTTGAACTCTGCATTTGATAGGTTGGCTATTTCTTCATCACTTAGTTGTGTTTTTGGAGCTTTGATCTGTTTTTTCATTTGGGCCCTATTTCTTTGTCTTGGCCCACCTGTTACATAGTAAAGGGTGGAGCCTCAGGTGTTCACCAGGGCAGGGCAACCCATGTTGCTCTGTTGTGGCACTCTATGGGAGGGAGGGGTCAGAGAGGGAACAATACTGCTTGCTCAGCTCTCCTGCTGGCTTTCAGTCACTTCACCCGCTACCCACAAGCAAATCGGGCCCTTCTGGTGCTGATTCCTGGGTGCACAGGTTGGTGTACATTCTAGGACCCTGTGGGTCTCTCTAAGGAACTCCTGTGAGGCTAGGAGTTTCTCCCGCTGTCTCAAATCCCAAAGGTTTTTTCAGACAGAAGTTTTGAGGCTTCATTTCTCTGTACCTGGAACCCTGGGCTGTGTGGTCTGTTTCACTTCCCAGTTGTTCCTTCCAGTTTATCTGCACACAAGTGGGACCACCCACTTTGCCCAGCCGCCTCTCTCTGCCCCTCCTACTGGTCTGGATGAGTGTTTCTTTTTTAATTCCTTGATTATCGGACTTCCATATAGTTGAATTTTCTGGCAGTTCCAGTTATTTTTTGTTTTTAAATTTGTTGTTGTCCTTCTTTTGGTTGTGCGAGGAGGCAAAGTATATCTACCTATATACCTCCATCTTGGCCAGAAGTGATTTTGTTGTATTTTTAATTTCCAATAATCCCCTTATACCTCTCTCCTCCCGCAATCACCACACTGTTGTCCATGTCCATGAGTTATTCTTCCTTTTTGCTCAATCCCTCCACTCCCTATCCTCCTCTCCCTTAGCTGTCATCCTGCTTGCTATCTATGAGTCCGTCTCTGTTTTCCTAGTTAGTTGTTTGTTCATTAGATTCCACATATGAGTGAAATCATATGGTATTTGTCTTTCTCTGCCTGGCTTGTTTCATTTAGCATAATGTTGTCTAGGTTCATAATACTGTTGTAAAGGGTAAAACTTTTTTATTTTTTTACAGCTGAATAGTATTCCATTATGTAAGTGTCCCATAGTTTTATCCACTCATCTGCTGATGGTCAAGGGCTGCTTCCTGTTTGTTTATTTTAGAGAGAGAGGAAGGGGGCTGGGGGAGAGAGAGAGAAACATTGATATAAGAGAGAAACATGGATCAGTAGGCTCCTGTTCTTACCCTAACTGGGGATCGAGTCCTCAGCCTAGGTATGTTCCCAACTGGGAGTTGAACCTACAGTCTTTTGGTGTAGTGGATGACGCTCCAAGCAACTAACTGAGGCACCTGGCCAAGGCAAATAATGTTTTTACGATAGCTTTATTGAGATATAATTCACATACCACACAATTCACCCATTTAAAGTGAACAGATTCATTGGTTTCTAGTATATTCACAGAGGTCTGCAACCATCATTACAATCAATTTTAGAACATATTCGTGATTCCCAAAAGAAACCTCGTACCTATTAGCAATCACTTTCTATTTCTCTCCAACCCCTACAACCACAGGCAACTACCATTCTACTTCTACGTCTAGATTTGCCTATTCCTGACATCTTTTTATATATGTATATATTTTATTTCTATTTATTTGGAAGGGTAGGAGAAAGAGAAGTAGAGAAACATCACTGTGGTTGCCTCTTGCACACCCCCTGCCGGGGGCCCAACCTGGCCCACAGCTTAGGCATGTGCCCTGACTAGGAATCGAACCGGCGACCCTTTGGTTCGCAGGCCAGTGCTCAATCCACTGAGCCACACCAGCCAGGGCCTATTCCTGACATTTCATATAAATAGAATCATGCACTATGTGGTCCTTTATGATAGGCTTCTTTCACTCAACATAAAGTTTTCAAAGGTTCATCATGTTGTAGCAGGTATCAGTACTTCATCCCTTTTTATGGCTGAATAATAGTACCTTTATGTATATACCACAACTTATCTGTTCATCAATGGATGGATATTCATGTTGTTTCCACCTTTTGAATATTGTGAATGCTGCTGCTATGAACATTGGTGTATAAGTATCTGTTTGACTCTCTGCTTTCAGTTCTTTTGAGTATATACTCAGAAATAGAATTGCTAGATCATATGGTAACTCTCTAATTTTTTTTAGGAACCACCGTGTTTTCCACAGTGGCTGCACAATTTTAAATTGCCACCAACAGTGCATGAGGTTCCAATTTCTCCACATCCTCACCAACATTTAGTTAAAAAAAACTTTTATGTATTTTTTATTATTTTTTTAAGAGAGAGAGACAGACAGACATTGATTTGTTGTCCCACTTACTTATAAAATTCATTGGTCAGTTCTTGGATGTGCTGTGACCAGGGATTGAACTTGCAGCCTTGGCTCTAACCATCTGAGCTACCTGGCCAGTGCTCGTTTTTTGGTTTGTTTGCTTGTTTTTGATAACAGCCATTCCAATGCTTGTGAATAGTATCTCATTATGATTGTGGTTTGCATTTCAGTAATGATTAGTGGTGTGCATGTTTTCAGGTGCTTATTGGCCATTTATAGATCTTCTTTGGAGAAATGTTTATTCAAGTCCTTTACCCATTGTTGAATTGGGTTGTTTGTTGTTACTGAATTATAGGAGTTATTTGTTTAGTCTAGATATTAATCCTTTATCAGATACATGATTTGAAGATATTTTCCCACACACATAATATCTTAAAGAGCTAAGTGAGGGTGGCAACAGTGGGAAGAAAAGACAAGGTGTGCATCCGAGTGAGAATGTGAAGAAAGAATTGTCAAAATTTGGATAAAGTAGCTGTGTTTTCCATCAGAATAGTTGAGAATGTTTTAAACAAGAAAATTAAAATTCTCTTTGGTTCAAAGATTTCTTTTTTAAACCAGTTTTGTTGACAGTTCTTCCTTTTCCACCAGGTATCTCAGGTAGTTTGAACTTTGATGAGGAGACTGATGGGGAAGAAGAAGGAAAAAAATTAAGATCTCATTCATCACGTTCAGAGGCAGAAAGACCCAGTTCCGCACCCAGCCAGAAATCAACCACAGTGTGTAGTTCTGAAATTTCTTCCTTTGGAGCTAATTTAACTATTTCCCAAATATATCTTCAGTGTTTAAATACCATTATGGAATGAGTTGCTTCAAAAGATTTAAACTCAAATTTAAAGTTCATAACCTCTCTAAATTTCTGATGTCTCAAGCCAGCTATTGTGAAGCTATCTCCCATTTTTGTACTTAAGCTCCTTCATTACTCCCAATATCCATATACTTATTAACTTCTCAGAGTTTTCCATTATTTTGTCAGAAGACTGAAGACAGGGATAAATCAATGTTATTTTATCCATGCAGTGTTTCTCAAAGAGAATATGAGGTGTTTCTGACCCTGCCTCTTGCTCATATATAGCTATTCTTTCAGGATACAGGAGCTTCTGGTACTTCAGCCCAACAAAATGATAACCAGCTGGGAGAAGTAGAGAATTTAGAGGACTTTGCTTATAGTCCTGCTCCTCGAGGCATCACAGTCAAGTGTCGGATAACCAGGGATAAAAAAGGAATGGATCGGGGTCTCTTCCCCACTTACTATATGCACTTGGAAAAGGATGAAAATCGGAAGGTATGAGAATTGATTCTGTTTATTATTGATTTGAGAGAGAAAAACATTGATTTGCTGTTGCACTTTTTAATGTGTTCATTGATTGATTCTTGAATGTGACCAGGGATCAAACCCACAATCTTAGCCTACTGGGACAGTGCTCTCTAACCAGCTGACATTCCTAGACAGAACCTGAGAATTGATTTTTAAGACAAATCTTGAGAAAGGGGGGGGAAGAATGTGGGAAAAGATTGTTTGATGGGTCTTGTGATAGGGGAATAACATTGGTATTATACCAAGGCAGCTAGAAGTAATAGATTGTGTTTATTAATTGCCAGCTGCTATGTTCTCACTCTTTTCAAAGAGCTTATAATCCAATAGCAAAAATCTCACTCCACACCACAAAAAAGAGTTTTATTCTGAATGTAAGAAAGTGGAAGAGGATATTTGAATGTGATTTATTTTACCTCTGTTCCTTTTTTGGGATAGGGGCTGTTACTGTGTGCTCTTTAGTCTTTACTTTTATTATGGTAGAAAATGACATTGTGGAAGAAAGAACAAGTTTTAGGGAAGAGGATAAATTGGAAATATAGAAGAATATACAAGTGAAAAGTCTTGTTTCTACCCTAGAAATTCTAATTTACTTTTGTACCTAAGTTTGAGACAGTTTAGTATTTGCTAATGAACAGTGTATTTTGTATTAATACCAGGTCTAAGTGAATGATTTAAGGATCCTAGAAATTAGATTATGATAGTAGATATCATTGTTATTATGACCACTATTTATTGAATGTTTATGATGTACTAGGCATGTGCTAAATGCTTCATTATCACTTATAATCCTTATGACAGCCCGGTAAGATGAGATTTATATCCCTGCTTTACGGACAAGGTAACTGGGGTTTAGGAAGTGATATCCTGTCCCAGATCACAACAGTAAGTGGCAGAACCAGATTCAGACTCACATGTTTGTGATTCCAAAGTCTCCCCTTAGCGTATACTAGCACTCTTCTGCTTCCCATTATGGTCCCAGTCTGGTAGGGTTTAGCAAGAAAGCATAAATATGAGGCTGTTCATAACACTGAAGTCACAAAAGTTTAAAAAATACAACCCCCCCCCCAAAAACAAAATACCAAAAGGAATATTAGGAATGCAGTTGTAGTAAAGAATGGGAAGGATAGGTATTTAGGATCCTGTCTCTCCTAAAGTTGGAAAGACTCTCTTATTTATGGAATTGGATGAAGCTTTTTTAAAAAGTCACTGGGGGTTTTAGGGACAAAGTTGTAAATAGTTATGTAGAGAACAAAGCTAGCAAACTTAGAAAAGTTGCGCAGTTGGGAAACACTGCTCATGAATTCTTAGAAGCATTTTGAGGGTTATTATGAAAAGAGATAAAGACCCACACGGATTGGTCTTCTCCAAGAAAACACCAGATGGTGACAACACTGGTGCTGAGACAGGGTGAGATCATCCTGGGGGGCCCTGGAATGGGGAGGCCTTGGTGGCTTCTGTCTAAGCTGGGGATCAAGACCATGGAGTTTGTGAGGCAAGGGTGAGGACAAGGAGTGGGTGTCCCTCACTAAGCTTGGTCCTCTGGTCATAGACATGATCAGGTCCCTGAAAGGGATCTCTCTCTTCTGCCTGTCCATCAAGGAATCTGAAGTGTTGGTTTTCCGGGCATCCCTCAAGAACGAGGTTTTGAAGATTATGTCTGTGTAAATGCAGACCAGGTTCAAGGCATTTATTGCCATTGGGAATCAGAACAGACATGTTAGTCTGGGCATTACATGTTAGAAGTAAGTAGCCACTGCCATTCATGGGGCTTTCATGCTCTCCATTGTCCTTGTATGGCGAGGCTACTGGGGAAACAAGGTTGGCAAGCCCAACACTGCCCCTTGCAAGGTGCCTGGCCAGTGTTGCTCTGTGTTAGTGGCCTCATCCCCACTGCCAGGGGCAGTGGCATTGTCTCAGCTCCTGCACCCAAGAAGTTGCTGCTGATGGTCAGCATCAAGGACTGCTACACCTTGAGCAGGGGCTACACTGCCACCCCAGGCAATTTTACCAAGGCCAGCTTTGATGCTGGCTTCAAGACCTATTGCTATCTCACCCCCAACCTCTGGAAGGAAAACATGTTCACCAAGTCTCCCCAGCAGGAGTTCACCATCTTGTAAAGACCCAGACCAGAGTCTCCATGCACAGGACCCAGGGGCCGGCTGTGGCCACTATACAGTCTATACAAGAAAAATTAAAGTGACTTAAGCTTGTTTAATAATAATAATAATAATGAACAAAAAAAACAAAGATTTGACTGCTTGGTACTAGATAGACATTGCTAAACATTTACTAAATAAGTAGACAAAATAAACCATAGTGATTTTCCTGACTTCATTTTTGACTGACTGTTTTTTTTTTCCTCAGATATTTCTTCTTGCAGGTAGAAAGCGAAAAAAGAGCAAAACATCCAATTACCTTATCTCTACCGATCCAACGGATTTATCTCGTGAAGGAGAAAGTTATATTGGCAAACTCAGGTGAGAGCATCCTTATATCACTGTCCTATTCTTTCTTATACTTTTATTCCTGTTGTAAAAATAATATAAATGGAATTACTTTAAAAATGAAGTCAGGGTCCTGGCCAGTATGACTGGCCAGTTGTTGTAACGAAAAGACCCATAGACCAAAAAGTCATGGATCAATTTCCTGTCAAGGGCAGGTTGCGGGTTCAATCCCTGCTGAGGGCGCATAGGAGAAGGCAACCAATAGATGTTTTCTCTCACATTGATGTCTCTCTCTCTCTTTCCGTTTCCCTCTAAAAGCAATGGAAAAAAATGTGTTTGGGATAAAAAAAGGAGGAGTTGGAGCTGCCATTCCAGAGCAATTGACTTGCATTGTCTTATGCCTCAAACCTTTGGAATGTTAAAACTGAACAGAATAACCTTTGGACTGGGTCAAAAAATGTATTGTGCAAAGATAACAAGAAAGCAGATATTATGACTACTAAACTGATGACTATAGGACTAAAAATTAAAGCCATTATTTAGAATTAGTGTCACTGTGCTAGCTTATCTGCACCAATAGCAGTGCCTTACTTGTATTGATGTAATAGTTCCCTTTCCCTTTCACATAAATAACTCTTGCCTTTGTCTCCTAATCAGAATACTATTTGGGCTTCTGCCTGAATCAGTGCTTTCTGAATAGCTATTCTTTTTTTGATCTCAAATAAATGCTGTTGCCTCTCACTTTGGCCTTTTATTTTTAGGTTGACAGTGTAGTTTCAGGACAACCCATATCTTTTTTACAATGAGCATGTGTAAATGATAATCTATTAATATTGTAATCTAAAGACAAAGAAGTTAAAAGAAAATCAAAGTCCTTTATTTGTTTTAATGAGAGATCTTTGAAAAAGTGATGAGGAACACTTAGACATTTCGAGAACAGGCAGATAGGCTTCCATTCTGTTACATACCTCTCCTAGACTGTGTTTGTGTAAGAGGAAATAATATAGATGATTATGGTGACTTTTTCTTTTGATTCTAGATCCAACCTCATGGGGACCAAGTTTACAGTTTATGACCATGGTGTCAGCCCCGCCAAGGCTCAAGGTCTGGTAGAAAAGGCCTATACCCGGCAGGAGCTGGCAGCCATCTGTTATGTAAGTGCTGTCCTTGGAAGTACCTCTTCCTTCATTTCCTGGACTCCCTGCTGACATCCTACACTGAACTTACTATTTTCCCTCCCAGGCTTGTTTCTATTTCTGTGATCCCCTTTTCTGTTGCTGGAATCATTTTCTCTGTGTGTTCAAGTTTTAATTATTTATGAATTGCCAAGTTCATTTATTTTTTTACTATTTTAGTATGTCTTGCCTTATCTGCTCTTCTCTTTTCCTAATGCCATTGGATTAGCACAGACCTTTATTACTTCTAAACCCACTGGCCAGAGGCTACAATAAATTGTAAACTGATCTCTTTGCTTGTAGTCTTTTTCTATTTATTCTGTACTGCTGCCAGGCAAATCTTCCTAAAACAGAATTCCAGTTGATCTTGTTGTTTTCCTGCTTCAAATCTTTTCGACTACCCATTATGTACAGAATAAAACCCGAAAATTCCTTGCAGATGGTTCTAGCAGCACTCTCCCTGTCCTGTTCCTATCATTCTGGCCACAACAAACCTCCCTCCTGTTATCCTGTGCTCCACTTTATGATCTTCCCTCTCTTGAGAACCTTCCCTAGTTTCCCTCCTTGCACTTTGCCATATCAACCGACATCATCAGAGGAGTCTTTCCTGACCACTAGACATGGTTGACATTCCTCTGTATACATCCTGACGGCACCCGCTGCTTCCTCTCAGAGTTGTTAAGTAAGAGAGCAGGAAGGAATTAACCCAACTCAGCTGTTCCTTGATCTCAGAGTCTCAACATTTTTTCCCCCAAAGTCTCAGCATTTTAACTGTGCCTGACCGTCGTTTGTTTGCCTGTGGATACACACACACATGTCCACATACAAGGGGGGACCCAAAAAACCCAGAATTTATTAATAAAAATTTGCGTATTCTTACATGTTTAAACTTTAGTCCCTTTCCAAGTACTGTCAATTTGATGCAATATACCTACTGAGACATTTATTCCACTGCTCAAAACAATTTTTGAACTAATCACTTTTGATGCCTTTTAGAGCTTCTGCTGTTTTTTGTTTCACCTCTTTCACATCGGCAATAAGTCCTCCTTCTGAGGACTTATTTTATCCAGAGAAACAAAAAAAAAAGTCACTTGGGACAGGACTGGGTGAATAGGGAGGGTAGGGCACGAGGGTCATGCACTTTAGAGTCAAAAACTGCTGAACACTCAGCACAGTGTGGGCAGGTGTGCTTGTAAATCATCCATCATGAAATGGGCAAGTGCTAGAAAGAGTCTTCAAAAAAATTCACGGAAGCTGAATGTAGCCTCTCACAACTCCACCAGCTGGTGCACTGATACAGATGGGTTCTTAGAACACTCACCTAGTGGGGGAAGGGGGAAGCCTGAACTATAAGGAGCCCGCCCTCAACAAGATAATTATGGGTTTTTGGGGGGTTTTCTTCATATTTAATGTACTTATTTATATATAATCTGCCTGGCTTGACAGGCATTTGAGTTTTTTACCTCCTGATACAGGCCCCATTTAATTTACACTGTAATTTTCACTGTAGATCATATGATGCCGTGCCCTCTTTGGGAAATAAGGATTTATTTATTCATTTCTGATTTTTAATCTTCACCTGAGGATATTTTTACTAATTTTAGATAGAGAGAAAGTGGGGGGAGGCAGGTGGTGAGGAGAGAAACATTAATCAGTTGCCTCCCGTACGTACCCTGGCTGGGGATCAATTCTATAACCTTGATATGTGTTCTGATCAGGGATCCAACCCGCAACCTTTTGGTATATGGGATGATGCTTCAACCAACTGAGCTACCTGGCCAGGGCTAGGAATAAATACTTATTGATGACAAAAACTGGACAGTTTGCTCACAGTTGTCTCAAAGTTCATTTAAGATTAAGGAGTAAGGGTAATTTTTCAAGCCAATAGAATCTGTTTAAAGTCAGGTGTTCAAATTAGGTTTAAAAAGAGGAATACAGATAATTAGTTTCCTGGTCTTGCTTCTCTGTCTCTCTTTAACTATACTAATAATAAAATAGCTTTTAGGGCTCTTGACCTTGTCAACATTTTACATGCCCAGGTAAGTCTCGTGTCAAGAATATGGTCTTGGCCCTGGCCAGGTAGCTCCGTTGGTTACATGACTTGGACACTGGCCCACAGTGTCTGCGGTATTATGGATGAGATGAGATACATTCACATGGACTACTGAGTCCTGTGAAGGAAAAGGGACAGCATGACTACTCTCTCAAGGGGAGAGTGCCTCAGAGTGGTGTGGCCACTCCCTCAAGAGGAGAGTGTGTATCCTTGCCTTCACTGGTTTTTATTGGCTTTTAATTTGCACAGGAATACAGGTAAAGTTCATTAATGATTGTCAGGCAGTAAGGATCAAACAATAGATAGCATACAAAGAACTACGAGGGCTTACTCTGAGTCAGGGTCTGTTAGCTAAAGGGCTACAAAACTTTGGGGAACAAACTCATTTCCTTCTCGGATCTTTATCATTTAATTGAGAGCATTCTTAGCAAAGCAGGTTTCACAGGAGTTTATGTATTCTTTCTTAGGCCTGATCATGGCGGGGGGGTAGGGCGGGGCGGGGGGAGGACCCAGGGGAACCCGCCAGAACCCGCTGGAACCCGCCTTTTCCAGCACAGGGCTGCACTGCCCTCTGTCATTGTTTCAGGCTTAAGTCAGGCAGGGGAAGTAAGGCAGCCAAGAGATTAGGAGACTTTTTGTAGGAATGCGACTCAGAATGAGGACTCGGGCTGTGTCAAAGCCAAGGGGCGAGGGTCTATCACCCCCTTTTGCTGTAGGCCCCCAAGTCCTTTCTTGGGGCCTCCACATGATCATGCCTGTCTTTGGTTGTTCCCCCCTTGGGGAATCTTACCCATCATTGGCTAACCGATCAAACATTGGGGGCCAGTTATGGACGAAGTAAAAGGAGCAGAAGCAGCGCTCCTGCCAGGGAGATAAGCTTTGTTTCCTTAGTGGCTTGTGGTCTGAAGGTCACTCACTCAGCCTTAGTCATGGCGGGGTTATAGCTTCTGAAACCAGGCAGGGCGGTTCCCAACATCTCCCCCTTTTTGTTTTTTAAAATCAATTGTAGTTGTTAAATTAAGCTTCTAAAACCTACTATTTGCTGTTTTCGAATGCGATCACAAGAAAACAACTTCATATACATCATAAAGCGCAAATAAAGATTAAGACAAGGAGGAGCCCAAGGGCTGCCAAAGACCCAAACTCCTAAGTTCAATTTATAGAAAAATGTTACAAATATAAGGGAATGACAAGAGTAAAAGGTCTGGTTACATTTCAGTCTTTGGGAGAATTAGCACAGACTTCAGAAAGCGCAAATCACAAAGCAGCCTAGGTATAATGCAGGCCTGATTTTCCGTGGGAGAACTTCTTTATGGGTATGGTCCTGTGTGCTGACTCACCCCCAGTAGTTTTCCATGTGGGTGCTGGGCCACATTTCCATGTCTAGTGACGTGATTCCCTACAGTTACAGCATTGTCCTGACATGTCAAGGTTAAGGGTTTGATCCCTGGTCAGGGCACATACAAGGGTCCATTAATGAATGCATAAGTAAGTGGAATGACAAATCAATGTTTCTCTCCCTCCCTGTTGCTCTCTCCCTCTAATAGAAAAGAAAAAAGGAAGGTGATCTTGTTTTCCTTTCTGTTTCCAAGTCCTGTCTTATTTACCTGTCTTCCAGGAAACAAATGTACTTGGATTTAAAGGTCCTAGGAAAATGTCTGTGATCATTCCAGGGATGAATATGAATCATGAACGGATCCCATTTTGGCCACGAAATGTAAGAACATATCGAATCAATAAAGGACTTTCAAAGACAAGCATACGTTACAGAAGAGATCAACCCAAAACCCTAAAACTGGAGTATTGCTCATTGTCTTCTAATTTAGGAGATCCATCACTCCAGAACCTCAGGATAAGTAGTTACAGATGAATTGCTGGAGTGCTTGATTTGCAACCAGTCTGCAAAGACAAATGCTAGACAATCTGTAAGGATCAAAAAACCCGCTTAACTGATGACTTTATTTCTGTTTTACCCTTTCTGAAATGGAGAAAATATTCCCCTATTTTACTTTCTCCCTCACAGAGTAGAGAATGAATGGTTTCTTACAGTTCTCTTACAAAGCAGTGACTTTCCTTTCAAACAGGACCATGAGAGCTTGCTTTCAAAATGGCAAAACAAAACCATGGAGAACTTGATTGAGCTGCACAACAAGGCCCCAGTCTGGAATGATGACACTCAGTCCTATGTCCTGAACTTCCATGGCCGGGTCACTCAGGCTTCTGTGAAGAACTTCCAGATAGTCCACGAAAACGACCGTAAGCCACAGGAAGGGCTGGGTGGGCACAGGGGGAAGGATGTTCTTACGTAGTGGGGAATGAACTTTTCCTATCCCTGATAGGGAGCTATATTCAGGAGAGAATTATCTCAGAAAGAAATGATTTCTTTGAAAAGACAAAACAACAGTTTTACAGTAAAACTTCTGAACCACTGTTTTGAGGGCGACTGAAGAGTGTGAGGTTGTTTGGGAAGCAAATGCAAGTGACCCTCACTCAGTACAGGTTCCTTGGCAACTCCAGCTCGTGAAACTTGTGCTGTCCCCAGCAAGCTCCTCTTAACTCATCTCTCCTCTTTCCCTTTCATGCTGGTCAGGAGTAGTCTCTCATCTCTGTAGTTGAGACTGCTGATTACCTAACTTATTTGGAGGATTTGTTTTTCTGTATGTTAACAGGCTTTTTACCCGTACAACCACATTATTTTCTAATATCATATTTTCTCTGTGTTTTCTAGCTGACTATATAGTCATGCAGTTTGGACGTGTGGCAGATGATGTGTTCACCCTGGATTACAACTACCCACTGTGTGCACTTCAGGCCTTCGCCATTGGGCTTTCTAGCTTTGACAGCAAGCTAGCGTGTGAGTGAGACAGAAAGCACACACAGAGCTGGACTTTCTCACTACAGAGCTTTCAGGAGCAGGTAGTTGCCTACCTTGCTCTTGGCCCAGGGCATGAAGAGAGACAATCTGCACCTTTTGGAATAATCCCTGAATGTATGTATGTATATGTGTATATACATACATGTATGTGTTATGTATACACATGTACACCACACACACACTTCTCTGGCTTTCACAGACCTGGTCAAGGACTATAGTTTGAGATACGTGAAAAATTATTAAAAGCAGAGGGAAGTTCTTGTCCAGAGCACAATAATGACCCTCGAGGTATAGATTCTGTGCCTCAAGAGTCAGATTTCCTTGGAACCTTGTAGCTAGAATCAGGTTCTAATAATTAAATACTTGGGTCTCTTTTTTGAAGACCTTTTCGGAGAGGGACAGTCCCCTAAATTGACTTTAGTCTCTAGTTCTGCAAACTTTTTCTCCTAAAGGGCCAGATAGTGGCCCTCTAGGGCCACAATTTCTCCTATAGGGCCACAACTGCTCAGCTGTCATTGTAGTGCAGAAGTAGCCATAGCCAGTTCATACATGGGCGAGGGTGGCCTTCTTCCAGTGAAATTTTATTTATTTATAAAATCCGGCAGCAGCCAGATTTGGCCTGTGGGCCATAGTTTGCCAACCTCTGCTTTAGGTATATCGTTATACTCTCTAGACTCGGGCATTTCCAAAATGGGCTCCTATCATGCAATGGTATGAGTGGGAAATGGAGAAATCCTACAGATTGGATCCAGAGAGGTATTCTCTGCTGCATTCACTGTTAACAAAGCATTACCTTGTTTTGGTGACGGTGGTTTGTAGAGTATCATTTATCATCATAACTGGAAAACCCCAAAGTCCATGATCATTTTGAGTCCACACAGGTAGCCTAATTCCCCTAACCTACCCAACACACCCACGGGAGAAGGCAATGCCAGCCACTTTACCTTCCCCAAGAAAAGAACTCGCGATCACTAGGAAACAAATCTAGAATTGTATTGTCTTAACAACAGGGAGTGTAGTATTTGTTTCTTAGAGTTAGCTTGTTGTCCCCGTGGTGCTTGGAAGGTACTGATGTCACAGTCTCACTCTTCCCTCAGAGCAGATTGGCTGGCACCAATCTCAGTCAAAGAGCCCATGGCCACATTTGTGATCGGTGATGTGAGAATTTTATATAATTATCTTAATTTTAGTTCAGACTAAGAACTCCAGAGGTGACTTAGTCTATTTAAGACTGATAGTAATTTGACAGTTGCCTTCATTTTCAACCCAGGAGTGCCTCCCCAAGCTGTATTAATATGGAGCGATGGTACAGAGGGACACACACACCTGTAGACCATGTAAGAAGTAAGAGATCGTTATGTGTCGAAACTTTCATTGTTATCAAAAGCGGTGGCAGGAGAGGCTTGGTGAGGACCAGCTAACTCCTGAGCTCTGCAGGCCTTGTTGGGCAGAACTTGGGGCCTTTCTTCTTGAAATAAATATTATCAGCTCCCAGAAGCCTGTTCATTGGTACAGATGAAGCTGCTATCTTCCTCATAGATCATGAGTTTTGCTAAGTCGTTCAGATTATTAGCACCTCTGCTAATAATGTGACTCTGCTACCAGCTCACTGGTCTCAGAGTGTACCTGAATCTTGAGAACCCAATAATTTTGTGAGTGCTACATTCAGCATTGCTCAACACCCAAGCCTTTGTGCATGGAGCTGTTTGCCAGTATGGGGCAAGAAATCAATGGCCATCATTCCATTTTGTTTCCCTTTTGTGGACTCTCTTTTTGTCTCTGCTTCCTGTTGTTCCATGCTCCATATCAAAGAGCAATGTGAAAGAAGGAGGTCTGGGAGATGAAAAGTCCTTTGGCTCCTCCCCACCTGCAAGTCCTACGTGATGTGTTTTGTCATGATCGGTTTCCATCTCAGGCATGCTTCCCATCAAGTGCCTCCTACATAGAAGTGCCCAAAGCCCTTCAGACCTCTGGTACCACCTTCCTCATGTACTGTCAGATGAGCTGCCCTCCTTGAAAACAGAAAGCTGATCACTTATGTCTGGTTGTAATAATTGACAGCATCTGGAGAAGGGGAGCCTCATGGGCTGACCAGATCTAATCCTGCTTCTTCCTGCTTGCTCTGACTCAGAGACATTTATACTCCAGCTTCATATACTTGCTGCTTGAATGTGCAGGTGATTGGTTTTATGTAAATCATATTTATACCTTTTGTATGCTACAAAAATAAATACTTTATATAAAAGTGGAAGTGTTGCCATTCTTCTTTTCAAAGCCCCATTTCTTTTTTTTTTTAAGATTTTATTTATTTTTTGAGGGGAGAGAAGGAAGAAAGAGAGAAAACATCAATGTGAGAGAGAAACATAAGATTGGTTGCCTTGTGCACACCCCCAAATGGGGACCTGGCCTGCAACTTAGGCACTCTAGCTGGGAATTGAACCAGCAACCCTTTGGTTCACAGGCCAGCTCAATCCACTGAGCCACAGCAGCCAGGGCACAAAGCCCCATTTTTTACATAGTTCCTACTGTCACCACTTGGCAACAGTGAACTAATCTTCAAGGAAGAATCACCATAAACTCATCCCAGGGTCACGTGGGAGCCTGGAGACTGAGAAGTGTGCATTCCAGAGACTAACCTCATCATTCACACGTCACCAAGAGTTTCTGCATAGATAAGGGAGCTAAGAGCCAGGCCTAGAGGGGGTCACAGAAGGGTAGGTTTTATCTCATTCTGCACACCTGCACTGGTCCTCCTCCTGGATCATCTTCGTTGTATTCCTTACTGATTCAGCAGCAAAACCAATATCTAATAATGAAACAGACCGCATCTCTTTCCATTAAGTGTTCACATTTTAAAGCTACCTTATGTGAACAAGTTTAGAAAAGTATGTGTTCACAAGTCTCTATCAGACTTTCCTGCCTTCATCAATGTCATAGTGATGAGTCCCAGGAAAGCAGCAGAAAGAGCCTAAAAATCAGGATGAGAGCTGGAATGAAAGTTTGATTCTTACAGCTTTTCGCATGATTCTTTTTGGCTAAGATACATGGGTTATTTATGTATAACAGGTTATTTATGACCAGTTTCATATACTTTTCAGTGACCAGGAATATATTAATGATTATTGACATGCAAGTTATCAGCAAGTGTTAATTTAAAAATCTAACAGACCTGCAAAAGGCTCTTTTTGATTATAAGTTTAATAGATCATAAAAACAGCAAACTATCATCAGTTCACTTCCTTTAGATAGCATGACTGGTGCAGAAACAAAGCAGTGGGTCAACTGAGGGAAAATCCCTGGGTTCTGGCCCTTTTTCTGCTAGTGACATGTCATATGCCTTTTTCCTCATCTGTTGATTGAGAGATTTTCAATTATACAGTCATCTTCAATTTTTGAATTACATTGTTCTCTCCCCACTCATGCTGGCAACAATATGGAATTCCTATAAATGTTTTGAACTGAGCTCTCTGGCTACCTTTTGGACAGTTGTTTGTGGCTGAAGATAGTGCTAGGAGGAGAACATACAGACCTCGGGAAAAGACCCTAGGTGCCTGAGGTAAGGAACTAGAGAGGAAGATTCTGGAGTGGCAGAAGTGCACAAAATAGGAGAACTATAATCTCACGCTGGGGAAGCGCATAACCTTAAAGCTGCTTTTCCCCAATCACTAGGGACATCTTGCTTCGTGGAGAAAATCCTGGGATGTTGCAAGCTGCCCTTCAGAGCCACCAGCTCCCCTTCTGGATAGAATGGCTCTTGCCCTTGTCCTCAGGCCATATGTTTGATATCTGCTTCTTTCCAGTTGGTAGCCCTCTTAAAGTTCCTCATGTGGACCCCGGCTAGGGGCTTGCCAAGGACTAACCAGATTCTGTCCCACCCCTCAGACATGTGTTATTGACCAATTGCATGCTATTTTGCTTCCTCTACCCACTTAGGTCTCCTAGTTATCATAGTCAGTGTATATTCTTTAAAAGTTTTACGGTCTTAATCAACCAACACGGAACTCCTCTCATTCACAAAAACCTAAGGATGCCACAGTGAATGCAGGATTTGTCTTCAGTGCTGTCAGAACTTTAGGCAAACCCTAACTATGCCAAAGATGGTTTCCTGGCACCACCTACTGACCAATGATGCACATTACAAACTTTAAAATGAATAGCACAGATTGCGACCTCCAGATGAGGGAGTCACAAAGGGCTCAGGGTGATTTCAACAACTGGACCTTGTAATCTACCCACTAAAGTTGTGCTATGGCATGACTGTTCTGAAGGACTGAGGACAGTAGTATTTCTGGAGCTTAGAAACCAATTGAGGTAGTCCAGGTAAAATGCCTGGGATCTGGCACATAGTAAACATTTAGTATAGGACAGTGGCAAATATATTCATGCACATTCTTTTAAAATAAAACAATGCAACCTGAGGTGGTGTGGCTAAGTGGATTGAGCGCCAGCTTCCAAAACAAAAGGTCACTGGTTTCAATTCCCAGCTGGTGCATATGCCTGGGTTGCAGAGCCAGGTCCCCAATTGGGGGTATGCAAGGGGCAATCAATCAATGTATCTCTCACACATCACATCAATGTTTCTCTCTCTCTCCCTTCCCCTCTCTCTAAAAATAAATGAAAATCTTTTTGAAAAAGATTAAAAACAATGTATCCCAGTTGACTTTTTAAGCCATGCAGTTACATAAAGCCATGTAATTGTTAACTGCTCATAAAGCAATTTTAAGGATATTTTAAAATTTTTTGCCCTGGCTGGCATAGCTCAGTGGATCGAGCGCAGGCTGCGAACCAAAGTGTCGCAGGTTTGATTCCCAGTCAGGGTACATGCCTGGGTTGCAGGCCAACACCCCCAGCAACCGCACATTGATGTTTCTCTCTCTCTCTCTCTCTCCCCCTCCCTTCCCTCTCTAAAAATAAATAAATAAAATCTTTAAAAAAATTTTATTGATTGATTTTAGAGAGGAAGGGAAAGAAACATCGATTTGTTGTTCCACTTATTTATGCATTCATTGGTTGATTCTTGTATGTGCCCTGACTGGGGATTGAACCCGTAACCTTGGTATATTGGGACGATGCTCTAACCAACTGAGCTACCCAGCCAGGGCCATATAAGGCAGTTTCAGATGGCCTTCCAGGGAATGTGTTGAAAAGGAAGAAAAAATAGCATTGTTTTTCTGGGTAACTAAACATCCATGTTCAATTCTCATCCCAGTCCTACCTTACATTCCTTATTTTGTACCCGTCTCTCTGTTTCTACTTGGAGGCACAGCCCAGGCCAAAAATAGTCTTGATATTATTTTAATGGAAGTTTTTAAAATAGGAAATGGGCCTCCCTGATTTGTTCTGGCTCTGCCTAGTCTTTTGGTCCATCAGGCCGGAGCGAGCTTCTTTGCATGTTGACTTGCAGCCTGGCTGTGGTCCGGGAGTGGAAGTGCACAGCAGGTGAACCTGGCGGGGAGTGGCAGTGGGAGTGCTCCAGGTAGGTTACCACCGTTTGTTACACATTTTGGCTTAATGTAGTGGTTCTCAAGCTTCAGGTTATTTTAACATCTAGTTAAGCACCATCTACCCAGATTCTGTCTGTCATGATTTTGAAGGATTCTGAGAGTAAAAGTCCAGTAGTTCCCTCTCTTCTGTAACGTGGGGGCAGGAAGGTTAGGAAGGAAGAATGGTCAGAGAGGAAAAGAGGGGCATACTCAGACAAGGGCCAGGAATTAGATCAAGATTTTAGAAGTGGGGTCTAAATGGAATTTCTGGGGTACTAAGGCACGTTCAGGACAAACTACATCAATGTAAGATAAAAATATGACCTTAAGCTCTGACCAGTGTTGGCTCAGTTGGTTGGGCATTGTCCCGCACAGCGAAAGGTGTCTAATTCAATTCTCAGTCAGAGCACATGCCTGGGTTTCGGGTTTGTCCCTGCTTATGAGAGGCAACCGATGGATGTTTTTCTCACTTTACTGTTTCTCTCCCTCTTTCTCTGTCCCTCCCCTTTTCTCTAAAAATAAATAAAATAAAATCTTTAAAAAATATGTATGACCTTAAGCACCTGGCCAGGTGGTTCAGTTGGTTAGAGCAGCATCCCACACACCACAAAGGTTGGGGGTTTGATTCCCAGTCAGGGCACAAGCCTAGATTTCAGGCAACCAATTGATGTTCTCTCTCTCTACTCCCTCTGCGCTCTCTAAAATCAATAAATGTATACTTGGGTGAGGATTTAAAAAAAAACAATGACCTTAAAAATATCCTGATTTTGCCTTTGGTAGTCTTACACATTGGACATATAGGTACAAATTTTAAATAACAATTTTATATGGTTTTTAAAAAAAGTTTAAAGACTGTATATAATTAAAACCTACTTACACATGTGTCCTCCTTGTTTCCCTTGCCCATCATACTCATATAGTTAACCATGTTTAATTTCCTTCCAGTTTCTTTATGCAAAAAAAAAAGTATTTGTAATTTCCCACCCTTTGTGCACAAACAGTAACATGTGATACTTTCAGCTCAGTAGCTTGCTTTTCTCAGTTGATACATCCTGGAGATATTCCCATGTCCATAAATACAGTCCTTCCTCATACTTGTCTGCGCTCCACAGTATTTCATCATGGGAAGTACCACAGTGCTTCTAACTGGTCTCCTATACAGAGACAATTTGCACATTAAGAAATTTTATCACCGTGTTTTGAGTATATACAGTGTTCCAGGGACCCCTGTTACTTTAAATTTTTTCACTCTTCATGCTCAATAACTCTAACGTTACACCTTTACACTTGATGTGTGCCACAGTCTGGATTCTTTTCTTGGTTCTGCAAGTGTTACCTGTGTGCTCAACATCTTTTGGATGCTACATAGCTGTGCCGTCCAATGCCATAGCCATTAGTCACATGTAGCTATTAAGTTTAAATGAAGTAAAATACATGTCAGTTCTTCAGTCATGCTAGCTATTTGCAAGTTCTCAATAGGCACACGTGGCTAGTGACTACCATATTGGACAGGCAGATGAAGAACGTTTGTTATTTTAGAAAGTTCTCTTGGAGAGCACTGGTCCATAGAAACCTCATTTTCAGGTTTTCAGAACTTAATTGTCTTCTCAACAGTTCTCCCAACTGGAAGTTGTTACTTGTCTAGTTCCCTCATTAGCCTGTTAGCTTGAGAGGCAGGGATTGTGGCATTGCTCTGTGTATCCCTACTGCCTCCCTAAGCACAGCGCCAAGGACATCATACATGTTCAGTGGGTATGGAATGAAAAAC